ACAGTGTCCTTCTTCAACCAATAGATAGTTCAGCTAGTGACTCATAGGTGGCGCCAGTGTGGTGTACTCGCGACGATGCATCTGGGTCATGTGACAATTTGGAGCGCTCTGATTGGACTCTGCCGTACGCGTGACCTTGAAAGGAACCAAAAACGCCAGAATGGACCTTAGCCGTTTTCCATGTTAATCTCCATAAGGAATGGGCCAGAACCGGCCTAGTACCTTTACTAAGCTCCATCATATCCTTGTCCGACTAAAAATTCGTAATCTACTCCCAAAGATTTTGATTCAGATAAAATATTTCCTTTTGTATTTTCAACTGTTACGAAAGTTAAAAAATCTTCACGCAAGATAAACACATTATATTTTTATAGATCCTGAGTCGCACGTACCTCTCAAAGCCAATTCCTGACGTCCACATTCAATAATCGGAATGAGCCGTTTCCGGTAAATATCCGCTATCAATCTGACTCATTATATTTGGTTGAGATTTATTACACACCTTCATAAAATTATCAGCCAATAATACAGAAGATTTGTGATACTGGCTTTCACTGTGATGCTTGAAATCATGTACATCATCTTAGTGAGTGGCTCAGTAATTCAAATTAAAAAAGCACCTCATTACTCACTTTCACTTCACTAATTCGCAGCACTATAATTTCACACACTTATTACTTCGCTTATATCTCCATACTCGCATTGGACCATGTAAGACAGAGCTGCGCCTACCCATGCCCCCTCCCGGGTTGAGTGCCCTGAAGTAGAAGCTTCCCCCCAGCTATTTAGCGAGGAGAACCTACTACCCCACTCCATCTACCCCCCCGCTCTCCGAGCGGTCCTCAACTTACTGATGGGCACTTCAGCAATATGGACATTTGACCTCTTTTGGTCGAAAGTCAGCCTTTAGGTGCTATTCTTTCGCGATCGGTAAAAAATGTTTTGTCTGACTATTCCTAACTGAATTTTTGCATGGGGGCCCACAAAAACTAACCGGCGGCTATTGTTGTTAACGTCGGGCATTCTTCAGTAAATCTAAGGATAATTGGATCGCAGTCGAGTTGTTCTGCGGTGAACTTGCTGAAAGAAAATCTGATTAGTATGCTTACCGGAGTCGCCTGACGGCGACTCGTGGGGGCGGTCGTTGTTTCTGCTTGGTCGGTCTTGGATGTTTGTCCCTTTCTCGGAACCTGGGGTCATCCATGTTCAACGCATCGTGTAGATCACGTAGCGCTGGGTTGTTGTGCGATCTGATTCTATCGAACACGCTTTCTGCATGTTCTCTCATATACACGTCCACATATTGCGTGTCCAGGTCTAAGTCTCTGTATCTATTTGGGATATAGTACGGCGGCCCTTACGCTCGCGTTCATAAACGACTGTATCTGCTTCCTGTATGTCTGTGCGCACTGGCCCCAGGCAGTGCAGGCATACAGTATTATGGGCATGAGGATGTATTTGATCATTAGCAACTTTACTTTCAACCCCATGTTGCTTCTGCGTCTTATGATAGGTGCCAGTCGTTGTCTGGCGTGTTTAGCCATTCCAATTCTCTGCCGTACATGAGACTGAAATGTTAATCTCCTGTCTAAGATGACCCCCAAGTATGTCACTTTGCTGGTCCACGGAATCTCTTGTCCGTTGAAGGTGACGTTGCCTTCCGGTTGTACAAACTTGCGGGTGAACAGTATCGCCTGACTCTTGTCAGGGTTTACACTGATCTTCCACAGGTTGGCTCCTCTAATCTGTCTGTCTGTTGCTGCAAGTATCTTGTAACATGCACTTGGCTCGTGGATCTCGCCAACAGGGCCGTGTCGGCTGCGTAGAGCGCCAACTTGTTAAAGTTGTTCTCTGGCTTGGGCACGTCCGCTATGTATACGGAGAAGAGGTGCGGCGAATAGACTGCTTCTTGCGGGACCCCTGCTTCCAGTAGTCGAATTGTTGATAGTTCGTCTCCTACTCTGCATCAGCATCGCCTGTCAGCTAAAAAAGACTGAATTAATCTTACCATTGGTTTTGAGTATCCGAAATCGCTCATTTTGGTCATTAGTCCTTGATGCCAAACTCTGTCGAACGCCTTGGAGACGTCTAGGAATATTGCACCGGTGTTGTGTCCCACAGGACTTGCAGGTCTGTCGAGTGTTCTGATCTAAAACCGAATTGTTCATCCGGGAGGATTCCTAGCTCTCTAGTTTGATCTTCGAGTCTCTTCAGGATGACACGTTCCGCCACTTTGCTTATGGAAGGTAGTAAGCTTATTGGCCTGTGATTGTCTGGGAACAGGTGGTTCTTCTTGGGCTTCGGAATGTGGATAACCGTTGCCTCTTTGAACTGGTACGGGAAGTGCTGCAATCTGAGTATAGCGTTTATAATGATAGTTATGGCTGTTATACCCTTGCGCGGTATTATTTTCAGTACCCGGTTTGTTATGTTGTCCGGGCCTGGAGTTTTAAGCGTGGATAGACGTCTTAGTATGTCTTTCACTTCCTCGGAAGATGTCGGGGCCAGGGGTTGCGCGTTGTTCGTTCGTTGTCTCAAACTTCGTACCGTTCTTTCCACCTGTCTCTCTATTTCGTCTACTTTGTCCGTGAACGGGACGTCGTTTCCTCTGCACTGCCTTTCGAAGATGTCCACGAATGCTTCCGCCTTCTCCTGGTCAGTGTAGACGAGGTCCTTTCTGAGTACTTTCTGCATTCTCCATGCAGACTGGTCTTCCGTGTTTAGTTCTTCCAGACGAGTAGTCCATTGTCTGTCTCGGATTTCTTTTTATTCTTCTTTCAGTATCCTGTTGGATCTTTGCATGCACCTTTTGTCCATAGGCGCGCGAGTCTTTTAGTACCGTCTTTTCAGGCGTTTCCTTATCCTGACCAGTTCCATCGTTTCTGGTAGGAGCTGTTCTTGGAAGTTAAAGCGTGGGACTGGGACTTCCCGTACGCTTCTTTCCATTGT